CATCTGATCTCAGTTTCCTACCACCACCTTCCTAGTCCAACATGACTGAGTGAAACAGATTTCTAGAGATCTATTAGAGCAGTGGTTCTCAACCTTCCTCATGTTGTGGTGACCCCCAACCATAAAATTATTTCCGTTGCTACTTCATAACTGTAATTTTGCTACTGTTATGAATTGTAATGTAAATATTTGTGTTTTCCGATGGTCTTAGGCTCTACAGCCTAGTAGGGTCGCCTAAGACCATCGGAAAACACAGATATTTACATTAAAGGAGGCATTAGAATCACGGGAGCATCAATAAGAGAATCTAGATTTTTAATGAAAGGCAACAAACTGAACAGACAAAACATACTCAAAGATAAGACAACAGAATGGTGGTTACAAAGAGAGAAAAGAGATGAGGAGAGGGCAAAGAAGGTAAAAGGGGTCAAATATAAGGTGACAGAAGAGTTATCAGGCTTTGGATGGTAGACACACAATAGAGTATATACAGACATTGTGTTACTAAGTTGTACACCTAAAATTTATGTAATTTTATCAACCAATGTTACCCCAATAAGTTTAGTTTTTTAAGTATATAGATTTTAGATTTATCTTAAAATTGGAATAAACTATGATTACATGTCTATGACCATAAATAATACACCTAAAGCTACTTATTCTTTTATCTGATCGTTCCTGAGGTTTTCAGGATTATGCAACTTATGAAACATGAAAATACCCAGTTGGAGTAAGAAAGAAAAGAAAAGCCCTGGTAACATCCCTTTGCTTCTTTTGTGTTTTTCATTTCTGTTAAACACATACACACACATATACTAGTACAGAAGTCTCTTAAATTGTTAACCGTCATTGTTCCAACATTGATTATATTCTTATTGACTAGTGATAGAAAGCTAATGTGTTGTTCTCAAGGATTCAGGGATTATCAAGAGGCTCTTGAGTTCCATTTGCCTCCTGTTACTGAAATTTATTCAGAAGGGGGAAGTGGACAGAGGAGGTGGTCTTACTGTTTCTTGAAGCTCTAATTCCACAGCAGAATACTTTTAGAAACATCTTGATTCTATTAGAAATTGCAGGTCAAAGGGTCAGTTCAACTGTTCTGATAGTTGAAAGCACCAGGGATGGAGTGAATAGACTATTTTCATGACTTAAAGTTGGATTTCTCTACTACCTACTCATTTTGCAGTTAATATGGCATGTTAGTCATGCAGTACAGGGTTTCTAATCACTTTGATAGGTTCTGTGTCCACATTTGTAATATCTCTATTTTTAACTGAGGGAAAAAACACTAACAGAACAAGGAGAGTTGACGGGGGTATGGGGGAAGGGGTGTATTGCAGTTTTTATTTTGCTATGGGTTTGTGGCTTCCATATATTTTATTTGCTTATATTATTCCCTAGGGCCTCATGAGAAATGAACTCAGAATAGCCAGTCTTCCTTTTCTTTTTCTTTTTTTTTAATATGTTTTATTGATATTTTACAGAGAGGAGGAAGGGAGAGAGATAGAGAGCTAGGAATGTCGATGAGAGAGAAACATCAACCAGCTGCCTCTTGCACACCCCCCACCGGGGATGTGCCCACAACCAATGTTCATGCTCTTGACCAGAATCAAACCTGGGACCTTTCAGTCCGCAGACCGATGCTCTACCACTGAGTCAAACCGGTTTTGGCAAGTCTTCCTTTTCTGTGGATAGTCTTTACTTGGTAAACCTCTTGAAGTCAATTATTAATCCCCATTAAGGTTCATTTTCTTCAAACTATGTTAGAATTAGAATAGGTGAATTCCAGATATCAAGCATTGACTTTGATTCAAAAAGGAACTATTTCTAGTATTTTTATTTTCTTTTTATAGTTTCCTTTATCTTTTCATTTTTCTTCAATGAACACATATTAATTTTTTCCCTACATCTTATTCTCAGTCTCTTTATCTACCACATGGAAAAAATCATTGTATCCACATTATAGAGTTGTCATTATAAGTAAACAAGTCATTGCCTACAAAGTACTAAACAGGAATAAGCACATAATAAGTATAAAACAAATGGTACATATTTACTTATTTTTACTCTATTATTCAAGGGTAGTTTCATTTTACACTTTATCAGAAAATTTTTCATGGAAGCAAATTGTATTAAAAGTCGGTAGCTACTAAAATAAGATGCTTTTGCAATTTGATTTTTTTTACTCGAATTCCATTTCCTGTTCTTAACAAAGTTTTTAGTTTAGACATTTTTTTGAGTGCTGTCTTTAAAACAACCACGTAAGCTCAACTATAGCATATGGACTTTTCTATCAGATGTATTAAGGGAAATATATATATATATGATTTCAGAGAGGAAGGGATAGGGAGAGAGAGATATGATGAGAGAGAATCATTGATTGGCTGCCTTCTGCACGCCCTCTACTGGGGATCGAGCCCACAACCCAGGCATGTACCCTTGACTGGAATCAAACTCAGGACCCTTCACTTCACAGGATGATGCTCTATCCACCGAGCCATACCAGCTAGGGCAGGGAACAATTTTTCTTATTCCCTAAAAGTTAGATGGCTATTGCTGTTTATTAGCTTTTATATTCTTACCTAACTTTCAATTTTTAAGAGGTTGTTCTCTTCTGTCTGTCCATTTCAAATTTACCAAAATTATGGACAAAATGAACAATACTATCTCCATCCCTTTCCAAACACTTAAAAAAAAACACCTAAAAGCTAATGTATCTAGACATCATACAGCTTTTACATGAGTATAATAAGATCAATATGTGATCAAAACACTTTATTTTCTTGACTATAAATTGCCCTTTTTAGACACATTCACATTTAGAAATCAGTCTCAAGAGTATACTTTTAAAATGGAAAAGACAGTGGCATGTTAATTAGGAGATTTTTAGAGGCTGAGAGCTATGGGTATGGGAGAGAAAGTTTGATTCTATGTAGTTTGTAGTATATTATCAATGCTCAATATAAAATAAATAGACATAATAAAATTTCTATTTGAATTGTATATGAAACAAAAAGAGACTACAAAGTATATATCTTATTAATAAGCCATCTCAATGGCTCAGCTTCCTGTGACACATGCTATATTTTAAATTTTATAATCAATTGTCACCTGCTATATCAAATTACAGTTTGAGAATGTGACATTTTACCCCATAGATTAACTGTACTACACTAGCTAGCCAAGAATACATATATAAAGGAATTTGGAACTTAGTCACAAAGCTTCAACAATACAGAATAATTTTACTATTTCATATTATGATGCTTTTCTTAAGCATAGAATGGCACTGAGAGCCCTTCACCTTTGTATTCTGCATTCAGCAAAGGTGCTCATGACTAGATCTAATTGAATAGAATAATCTTATTTTTCATTCATCTTTTCTTTCTCTGCTGCTAAAAGTGTCCAGAGAGGCAGTGCCCTAATTGAGAAAGCACATTTCTCATTTCAGCTTTGTCAGTCTGAGCTTCCCAAAAAAGTAACAGATGATGGCCAGCAACAGGAAATGGCATCGTGACACCATCTTGAACTCCTTCACCTTTAAGCTCATTTCACCACTTAACATATTTTTTTCAAGTGGTCAGTGGATATATTTAGACTGTCATTATCCCTTTGGTGTTGACTAAGGCTTCATGGGATAAGCCATCTGCCATATCTCAGAATTATATAGTGTGTGGGAACAGAAGAAAGTTAAATTGAGGTCATTAAGAATCTCCCCTTCCAACAGCAGACAAATTTTCATTTCTATAATATAAACTAATCTACCTTCTCCTTTGTTAGTACTTCTTGTTCAAAGTTCCCCAGACCTACCCATCCAAAATGCAAAATATTCTTGTCAAAATATAGTCTTCCAGTTTTGGCTAAATTAAACTCTTCCATATGACTGCTATTAAATCTTACTAGTAATTATCTTAACAAAGACGGAAGACACGTTAAACTTGGGAAATGCGTTTTCAGGTTCAGCATTCCCTTGAGTCAAAAGCTCAGGTCACATAATTCCTGTAAATCAAATCCGTCTTCTTACAGATGACTTACATAAAAGATGAGCTATTTAGGAATGCATTTTAAACACTGAGATTCACCAACTTCATTCTGATTATTTTGTAAATTTCTCATGTTCACTCCCTACTAAATCCCACCTTATTTTTCTCCAGTATATTAACCAAAAAGTAGTTACCTAAGTCACAAGGAATCTGTAAAGCTTAAATTACTGTTTCAGAGTGCACAGATCATTGGCAAATAAAGCCATGACTGGAAACTTACTTGCATTAATGAGATAAAAAGAATTATAGACATTCAGAATGCCCCAGAAACAGATGACTGATTTTCTAAATCCTATTTTGTAATAGTTACAGTTTGTTACACACTCTATACATAAAAATGTTTTCAGCCCTGGCTAGGTGGCACACTGGGTTGGAGTGTCGTCCTGTATATCAAACAGTTGTGGGTTCGATTTCAGGTCAGGGCACATCTATTGTAGATTGTATTCCTCAATCGCGCTCTCTCTCGCTCTCTCTCTCTCTCTCTCTCTCTCTCTCTCTCTCCTCCCTCCCCCTCCCTCCTTTTCTCCTTTCTTCCCCCCCACCCCCCACCCCCACTTCCTCTTTTTCTAAAAAGCAGTGAAAACATATCCTCAGGAGAAGATTAAAAAAAAAAGTTTTCAGTTTCAATAATGTCTTGTTTTGCATGGAAGCTACTAAACAGTTATCAAAAATTGACAAGATTATTCTTTTTAAAAAAATCTTTAATCTTGTTTACTGTTTATATCTAGGAACTCTTCATTGAGATGTCAGTATAACAACATAATAAAGACATTTAGGGTCAGAGAAATTTGAATGGGATTCCTGGCTGCACCGTTTACTTCAAGTGCAAACATGGGCAAGTCACATAAACTAACTAAGCCTTAGTTTCATCACCCATAAAATGGGTTAATAATAATAATAGTAACTTCAAAGAATTGTGAAGATTAAATGAAAATCGGCATTTTCTTTCTTTTTCAGGCAGGAAGCTCTTCTGGCTGCCATTAGTGAAAAAGATGCCAATATAGCTCTTTTGGAACTTTCATCCTCTAAGAAAAAGACCCAAGAGGAAGTGGCAGCACTAAAGCGGGAGAAGGATCGTCTGGTGCAGCAACTCAAGCAGCAGGTAAAATTAAATGCCTGGAGGGGTAATGGGACCAGCTTTCACACAGTTCTCCCTCCACCCATATCTTTACTGGTTTACATATTAGGCCTTATGGTCATAGAAGACATCTGATCTTTCTATCTATTGTAATTAATTTTCTTATTTTTTTGTTCTTTCATATTTTTTTAAATTAAATTCATTGGTTAATAAAATTATATAGATTTCATATATATAATTCAATGATACATCATCTGTATATGGCATAATCTTCATAAGCAGGGATTTTCATCTTCACAAATCTCTGGCTATGTCTAGTAAATGCTAAGTATTTTTTGTAAGAGTATTGGTTTAGAAAATATCACACAAGTTGCGGAAACCTGTTTGGCTCAGTGGATAGTGCGTCGGTCTGCGGACTGAAAGGTCCCAGGTTCGATTCCGGCCAAGGGCATGTACCTTGGTTGCGGGCACATCCCCAGTAGGGGGGTGTGCAGGAGGCAGCTGATCAATGGTTCTCTCTCATCGATGTTTCTAACTCTCTATCCCTCTCTCTTCCTCTCTGTAAAAAATCAATAAAATATATTTTAAAAATATATATATCACACAAGTCTTCTATGAGAATATTTTTTGATTTTGTGCAATGATTGGATGAAATTAGTGAAATTCTGCCAATTTGAAATGGAAAAGGCTTTAATATATATATATATATATATATATATATATATATATATATATAATTGGTTTTTTACAGAGAGGAAGGGAGAGGGATAGAGAGCTAGAAACATCGATGAGAGAGAAACATCGATCAGCTGCCTCCTGCACACGCACACACACACACACACACACACACACACACACACACACCCCACTGAGGATGTGCCTGCAACCAAGGTACATGCCCTTGACCAGAATTGAACCTGGGACCCTTAGTCCCCAGGCTGACGTGCTACCCACTGAGCCAAACCGGTTTCCGAGAAAAGGCTTATTTTTATATCCAATTAGGTTCCTACTACAGAATGCACTAAATATTGTTATTTAAATGATTTTCAGTTATTCAGGGCTAGGTAGTCTCTAAAGGTAAGAACAAAGTTTTGCCCTTTTCCAACATAAACCCTCCTCAAATTTAATGATTAATATTTCTGTAAGACCTTTGATCTGTGAAAATGAAAGCTACAAATGTGTCCTTTGGTGATGTTTGCACAACTGTGTAAATATGCTTAATGGACAGAACTTATACATTTAAAATTGATAAAATTGTAAATTTTATGTTAATGTATATTTTACCACAATTTTAAAACAAGTGGGAAAAAATCATCTTTGAAATTAAGGATAAAGTTGAATTTTTAAATCTGAGTCTCCCGTATAATTAACGCTTTTTATTGGCTGTTCCTGTATGATTTTCAGTGCCTGCAATCCCATCTTCCATTATCATCCCCTGCATTATTCTCAGTCACATTTTCTGTGCCTTTAGGCTGCCAGATTTGTTCTTCTACCTGAAGTAGAGAAAGAGTTTTTCAATTGAAAGGGTTTCTTCTTTTCTGTTTTGAGTAATCATCAATTGATATCATTTTTGGCATAACATTTCATATTCAACTTAGTAAGAATCAATATTTATACAATAAGCTGAGAAAATACCAAAAGATGTCCCTTTTCTATCAGGCGTTCTCAAACTTTTTAAAGTGGGGGCCAGATCACAGTTCCTCAGAGAGCTAGAGGGCCGGACTGTATGAACTACTAATTCCTACTGTAACACCTTGGCTGCGCTCACTGCCCAAAAAACCTGGCGGGCCAGATCAGACTCCTCTGCTGGCCGCATGTGGCCCGCGGGCCGTAGTTTGAAGACCCCTGGATAGATAGATGAGTAGCAGAAACAACCCATTACTCATTTACAAGTGAAAGAAAACTTTTCCAGTGTCCAAAAATAATTTGTCACAAGAAGAGGACATCATCCAATATTTGGATGCCTATTAGTAAAACAGAAAAAAATGTGCTTATTAAAGATAATCTATCCAGTAGTTCAAAATTGAAATTTGATATATCAAAGCTGATAATATGATAGAATGCTAATTGCTATAGGCTAAGAGGTGGCGAAAATGGGGAGATGCTGATCAAAGGGTACAAAGTTTCAGTTACACAAATGAAAAAGTTCTAGAGATCTAATGTATAGCATGGTGATTACAGTTAATAATACTATACTATATGTATATTTGAAATTTGCTAAGAGAATAGATCTTAAGTGTTCTCACCACACAAAAAAGGTAACCATGTTAAGTGATGAAAATGTCAGTTATTCATTATAATTATTTCAAAAAGTATACTTATATTAAAACACCACAAAAAATAGAAAAAGAAAAAAAAACATCACATTGTACACATTATGTATATACAATTTATATGTCTCAGTTATCCTACCTAATAAAAGAATAATATGCAAAATAACCATCTCTCTGCTATAATCACAAGCCATGCCCACCAGCCCTGCCCACCAACCAATCAGAGCAAGTATGCAAATAAACCCAGCCAAGATGGCTACAGCCACAAGGAGCAGGAGGAAGGCTTGGGTTTCCCAGGCAACAGGAACATCCTCTGGACCCAGGCTGCTCCTTGCCTGTAGGCCCTTAGGCTCTGAGCGGCTGGGTCCCAGAATTCCCCCTGGCCACTCAGAGCCTATGAGTGCAGGTGCCAAGCTGCAGGGGCGGGTCAGGGACATTCTGCCCACCTGCAGCCACTTGGGAATGCTCCAGCAACAAGCGGCCTTTGGGTCCACGCTCCCAGCCTGGGATCTCAGGCTGGATACTCAGCCACTGAGTCACACCAGCCAGGCAGATATGGAGGAATCTTTTTTTTTTTTTTAATATATTTTATTGATTTTTTTTTTTTTTTACAGAGAGGAAGTGAGAGAGATAGAGAGCTAAAAACGTCAATGAGGGAGAAACATCGACAAGCTGCCTCTTGCACACCCCCTACCGGGGATGTGCCCGCAACCAATGTACATGCCCTTGACCGGAATTGAACCTGGGACCTTTCAGTCCACAGACCGATGCTCTACCACTGAGCCAAACCGGCTTCGGCTGGAGGAATCTTAAATATTTCTGTTTTTAATATATATTTTATTGATGTCTTACAGAGAGGAAGGGAAAGGGTAGAGAGCTAGAAACATCTATGAAAGAGAAACAGAAACATTAATCAGTTGCCTTCTCCACAGTCCCCACTGGGTATGTGCCCCCAGCCAAGGTACATGGCCTTGACTGGAATCAAACCTGGGACCCTTGATTCTGCAGGCCATTGCTCCATCCACTGATCCAAGCCAGTTAGGGCTGTCCAATATGTTAAAGAAAAAACCCTACCTAATAAAGAGGGAATATGCAGGGGAGGGCATTTGAGGGTGACAGGGCTGTCAGGAGAGGGCAGTTGGGAACGATCAGGTCTGCAGGCATCAATCAGGCTGGCAAGGGAGTGGTTAGGGGGTGATCATACTGGCAGGCAGAAGCAGTTAGGGGCAATCAGGCAGGCAGACAAGCAGTTGGGAACCAGGATTGTGAGAGGGATGTCCAACTGCCTGTTTAGGCCCGGCAGTCAAACATCCCCCAAGGGGTCCCAGATTGGAGAGGGTGCAGGTTGGGCTGAGGGATACACACCCCTGTGCACGAATTTCATGCCCTATGCCTCTAGTACCTCAATAAAGGGAGGGGAGCTGATAATATGAATTAGAAGGATATTGTTGAAGAAAGACTTTCACTAGTTTGTGAGTATATATATTTAGCAATATCAGTTATCTTAAGTAGTAGTTAGGCCTAAAAATACAGACATATGATTACATTTTTTTATGCTCCCTCCACCCTGAGACACAAAGTAGAATAACAAGTCTAGCAGACTAGAATTCTGTATTTCATTCACAGTGACTTTTGATGATTTGACTCATTCACAACTACAAGACTATATGGTTTCAATAGATAAGAGTTATGATATTAATCCATGAATTTATAATATTAGGAGTCACTGAAAAATTCCTAGTATCTTACATTTAACTATATGCCCTGAATATTTTGTAGTGATGTGACCTATATATGGAGAAAGATAAAGTAGTTCTTAGGAGTCTTTCCTAACTGTTTTTCTGTTTCCCTTCCATATAAAGTTTTCACATATCTGCCCTCTCAAAATGTGTCTGGGAGTATTTTATCTTTTCTCATGACTGAATAGTATTCTGTTGTATTTATGTACCATGTCTTATTTGTGACATCATGCTAAGGGAAATAAGCAGACAGAAAACATCAAGAGCCATGTGATGTCACTCATCTGTGGTATATAGTACAGAAAGCAACAAATGAACAAACAAGAAAACCAAATAAACAAAAACCCAGAGACATAGACACCAGTATGGTGGTTACTAGAGGAATGGGGGAGGGTAGAAAAGGGTGAAGGGGGCCAAATATATGGTGATAAAAGATTTACTTTGGGTGGTCAGGACACAATGCGATATACAATGGTGTATCGTAGGATTATATACTTGAAACCTATATAATTTTATTAACCAATCTTACCCCAATAAAATTTAATTTTTAAAAATGTGTCTTAGATGCTGTGAGCAAGAAGAAACTGGTCTTGCCAAATAAGTTTTGATTCTTTAATTTCTCTAAGTATGTACTAACTTTTTGAAAGTGAATATGACATCAATGTTATTTTAATTTAAAGATTCTAGTCCTTGAATTGCTGAAATGTCTCAATCTAAAGGCATTTTCTAATAAGGAAGCAGTCAGCACTGACCAGGCTGTTCAATAAATGGACCTGCCACTGCCTGATGGGCTGTTGGCATTCACGTGTGATTCCTATTGTCAGAAAGAGGTGAAGCAACAGGGATTTACAGATTTTGCGGTCACCCTCTAAGATGGTCCTGATTTACTTATGCCCACACATACACATCCCAGGGTAATGTGTCTCCTTGATTCATTCATGGTAATGCAGCACTTGGATAGGCTGCATCAGAGGAAGGAGCCAGGGCACATGGCAAACATAAAAACTAAACA